AGACCATGTTCTGGGCGGTCGAATGTATGGATAATTTACATTACTCAAATATTATTTTTGAGACATCGATTGCCTCCATGATGTATTCACAAAGCCTGATAGCCAGCAAAATCATGATTTCAACATCATCCGCCACAATATCGTTTCTCTTTTGGCAAGGATAGACACATGGAGCCTAGAACACGTCTTCCAAGAATGCAATGAAGCGGCAGCGACAATTGCTCTAAGTGTCACCCGTGATCAACGTCACCAGTCGTACATTGCTAGACTTGCTCCGGCGTGGCTTCATCATCTTCTCGCTTTGGAGGTTCAAACGTAAGGGGTTAGTTGGGTGAGATTTCCTTCATTTTATTGTAGGTATCTATTGATATCCCATTTAATTTTTCCTTATGTATCACATGTTTCATATGTTGGACAAGTCAAAACAGGAGTGTTATAAAAAAAAGAAGAAGCTAAAACTAACTATGTTTCCAGTGCTCTTCTTCTCTGTTTAGTACTCTGTTTTTGGGTAGCCTTTCTGTTTTCTTTATGTCTAACTGGACACTGTTGGTGTGTCACAGGATTTCAGAAGAAGAATGGGGTCATCTTCCGGTTTGACTGACCCCGAAGAGGGTTAGCACATCGTCCCAAGTCAAATCTTATATGATCAGTGTGGTTTGGTTTTCATTTCTTATCAAGCAAATAAAATGAGAAAACGTTTTCTTGTATTCAATGTGCCAAGACTGTCTGTACAATTTGTAATTCCATTAAATCTGTTCATCTATTGACTCACTATCCAAAAAAAAATCCTAAGTAGAAACAAAAATTTCCGAACCTAAATCTGCCATAACAACAACATAAAATCTGAAGCAAGAAAGAACTCTTCAACCGAAACCACTAGCTTGTGATATGCACATTATGACTGATCCATGTCATCGGTCCTCGACACCTCCTCAGCTGAATCACTTTCAACTCTACGGTAGCACAGAACATAGGCTGCTGAGGTTTTGATCTCAGATTCGTTTACGGGTGAAACAATACTGTCGTCGTAATGATACCACTTGTTGCCATCATCAACCAACTGCAATAAACATATATATAAATAGGTGTTAGATAAAAAAGGAGTACTTATCAGATAGTGAGATCAATCAAGTAAGCAAACAACCTTAGCGTAGGTAGTGTAGTGGCCAACACCACCAATTCCACCGTGATGGTTGATCACTGCATACAGCTCATACAAGTATGACTCCCGTTTCCCATTATTCACGTACTTGCTCAACTCTAACAGATCCTCAACTGGGAAATCCACAAACGTATCTATCTTCTTTGTGAAACATTTGCTACTCTTGAACCGTATTAACTGGAACATTAGTATCTCTGGCAGCTTCCACAGGTCATACTTCTTGTTAGCTTGCCTCTGCTCTTTGCATTCCGGACAACTCCTGTGGTTCCACAAAGATGGTCAAAACTTATTAACTAGGCCACAAGCTTATGCAATGTCACAAGTTCAATGGATGACTAGTGAATGCTATTACCACATGTTATCCAGTTCAAGAGGTTCTTCAGCTAAATACTTCTCCAAACAAGCATACAGAGTTATCACTTCTTCTTGCCTTGTCTTCTCTCCAGACAAACTTGGTCTATAAAACACGTCCATGAGTTATATGACTGTCCAAGAATAGTTCTTGTGTAACCAATACATGATCATTACCTTCTTCCCTGCCCTCCATGAAGCATTTCAGGTTTTGCTTTTCCTGCTTCTTTCTGCATCTGATTCTTCATCCGATACGCAGCAATATGGACATCATCTTTCATCACACTCAGCGACTCCATGGGATTCTCTAAATATCCAAAGATCTTGTTCTCATATACCTGTAAAAGAGGGCAATGCCACAGATTAGTGATGAAATGGATTAATATCAGAAAAAGAACACGTCAAGTCAAGAGTACTCCTACCATTGCAAGTAAAAGGCTTTCATCATCAGTTAAGGAACAAGCAGTACTTAACGCAGCAATAAGATCACTACATGTTCCACTCCTAGGCACTGTTACAGTGTATGAAATCGGAAGATCACCTCCATCGCCATAAAACACAGTAACTGTTATTGACCGGTTAAGTGTTGAAGGCAAAGGTAAAGACAAGCACGTGAAGGACTCATAAGTGCTTGTTGTTTTCCCACAAACTGGACAAATCAGACTTGACTTGCATTGACCCTAAAATAAAGAAGATATCACAAACTGTCAGGAATATAAAACAGACAGAATATTCCAGTTCTGGTATGAAAGATCTACTTACTTGGCAGGCGTTAACTATGTCAGAGACTTCACGTAGACTAACTAATAAGGAAGTAAGCAGCTCCTGAAACAAACATTAGTTAGTATACATCAGAGACCCAAAAAGGATAAACAATTTGCTCAACTGTAGGAATATAACTAACATGAGAATCGTGTTGATTGTGACCACTGAACTGTGGAGTTGCTTTATCAAGTTTTGTCTTGAAAACTCGCGGTTCAACTGCATTACTTTCTGAGTACCATAACTCATTCAAGAGCTCACCAAACGCCATAGCAAGCTCACCCTGATGATCTTTATTAAAGTGGTCTTTACTGTGATCTTGCATGAAGTATTCAAGTATGGGAGGTGTGTGTGCCAAACACTGAAGAGCGCTGTTCATGTAGCAGGTGTTTCCCATATTCACCAGTCCTGCTAATCCTGAAGTTTCTTCTTCCACAGGTAGCTCATCATTTACTTCCGAGCTCCCATCAACTTCAAGAAGAATCTGCAGCAAGTCATTTAAGCGAAATAGAATAATGTGATTTTTTTGGCATGACTACTGACTCTTGTCTCAAAGATACTACTTACATCTTGGGTCATGTGAAGACCTAACTCTTCAATGGTCTGGTTAGACACCTCCAAGACTTGGCCTTTACTCATGTTGAAGTAATCCCAGATGTGAGCCTGCTTAATCATCAAACGTGAAGCAAAAACAGAACAGAATCTCCATATATAGTAGTAATGGTACAAGCCTTTTCAAATAATACACACACCTTTTCTAGAGATACACCTTTCTCAGCACAAACCTTGTCATAAAGCTCCCTTATAGTGGCCTAAAAAACAAAACACACAAACAAATAAAGAAAGAACTCAAAGTTGGAGCACTTATAGTGTTTATTATCTATACATACCTGTTTAGCCAACTCTATATGAGTTACATTGTGAACCTCTCTTGCATCTGACAAATAAAGGTTGACCATGGTCCTTGGTATAGGAGGACCTCCCTTATAACTGAAAAGAAACTCACAACATTTTGATCAAAACAATTAAACAAGACCAAATGAGCTAAAAGAGAAGATATAGATAAAGACTCTCTCAGTCACTCACCATGCAAGAAGAGTGTTCCAAAGTCGTTCCGGGAGAAGAATGTAATCTTTATCTTCAACCAGCAATCTACCAGTATCGATGATATCACTGTTATCAATCGGTCCAGGCCATAGAGCTCCTCTTCCTCCTCCCGGAGGCTGATCAACGTATCTCTTCCAGCTTGTGAACCACCTGCAAAAAACGTTATCTACTACGATCGAAGAGGTCACAAAGAAGGAAGAATCAAGATTTGGTAAAAAGACCTTTTGGAGATGACGAAGCAGGAGGACTCTCTTGTGTGAAGTTCGTTTGAGTTGGTGGTAGTGAGTTCCGAGATGGTACGTTTCTCTTCCTCGCGAAGACGAGAACGAGTGACTGCGTTTGTAGACGTGGAAGCTGTGCGATGAGGGATCTTCATGGTCGAAAAAAGATCAGTAAGAAATTAGAATCTCTCACTAGTATGTATGTATGTACGCGAGAGAGAAGATAGAAGAAGTGTTTTGATCTTTTCTTTTCAGAAGATATAAAAGAAGTGCAAAGCAACTCTTGGCGTTGGCGTTAGTCGTTGTTATGGGTAGGAAGAAACAGAGAGCTGATGTGGCGTTAACCGTTGAATAAAAATCAGTTAAGAGTGGTTGGGTCGTTACGAGTCTGTTATAGCAGTTACTTACATGTCTTGGGCCTTATAGTACAAACAAGAGAAGAGTGAGTGTAGAGTGTATTTGGAAAACTCTAGTTGGTGGGCTCTTCGAGGTTAGGCTTAATCACGTATTGAGATTGTATACACTTAGTTTTTTTTTTTTTAACTCAAACTTCTACTTTGCATTAACCAAATTGTTTAGACACGTACAAGATCGTTCCTTTGCCATTATTGTCGGTAGATTTTCGGTTTAAATTTGATTCAGATGAAAAAAAAGTTGTTTCAGATCTCAGATTAAATGATCGATAAATGTCCATTTGTCTTAAAATTCTTAAACTTGCATTTTAAATAAATAAAAAATTTTGATTTAGTTTTTTTTTTTTCAAAAAGAAAGAATATTTTGAATATTCCCTTTGTAAATTAAAAAAAACAAATGAAATTAGGTGTTTCTAGACTAGGATTGGGACGGATCCCGATATCCGGGAATTTGGAGTATCCAGATCCAGATTCGTCGGATCTGTGATTTTAGTATCCAGATTGGATTTGGGTCGGCCGGGTATCTAGGGCTCGGATATCTGTCTAGAAGTTGTAATACCTGTGGATATCCAGATTCGGATCCGGATTCATAAAAATAATTAAAAATAAATAAAAATTATTTAAAAATACATAAAATTCAAAATTTATTATAATTTAAAAACACGGATCCGGATCTAAAAGTTTAGATATCCGAATTCGGATCCGGTTTGAATGGGTCCAATATATTACTATTTGAATTTGGATCCGGACACTCCAGATATCTTATTTTCGAAGCGTATCTGGAGCGGATCTCAGATAATAAGTCTCAGCCTTATTCTAGACTAATGCTATGTATATTTACATAATTAATTAAGATTTAGAAAAAGGAATATTCGGTGGTACTACTGACAGATGATGATAGCTGTTAGATACGCTACACGTGTATCTCCTACACTCGTCAGGGATCATCGGATCTTTATCGCATAAACTAAAAAACGCCAAAGGGACACGACACGACACGAACACAGATGGTCCGATCTCAAATCTGTGGTGACATCTGACTCTCGATTCCTCTATCCTCCACACTCTCTATCCTCTCCTCCTCCCTGTGAATCTCACGTAACACATTGTGTAGAATCTCAAGTAGTAATCATGGAGAGGCTAACATCTCCTGCTCGTCTCATGATTGTCTCGGATCTTGATCATACCATGGTAACAAAAATCAAAAAGCCACCATTTTTATAATAAAGTTTTCATCTTTATTAATGGGTTTTTTTTCTTTCCCCAGGTTGATCATCATGATCCTGAGAACCTCTCTTTGCTGAGATTCAACTCACTCTGGGAACACGCTTATCGCCATGACTCTCTTCTCGTCTTCTCAACCGGAAGATCACCGACTCTTTACAAAGAATTGAGAAAGGAGAAGCCTTTGTTGACCCCTGACGTTACTATTATGTCTGTAGGGACTGAGATTACTTATGGTAACTCCATGGTTCCTGATCTTGGTTGGGTTGATACTTTGAATCATAAATGGGATTTGGGGATTGTTAAAGAAGAGACTGGCAATTTCGTTGAGTTAACTCTTCAGGTACTTTAAGAAAAAAAGAGTCTATTATCTTGCAATATACTTGGTACAATGATAAGAGTGTGGTTACTGTAGGCAGAGTCTGAGCAGAGGCCACACAAGGTTAGCTTTTACGTTGACAAAAGTAAGGCTCAAGAAGTGACCAAGGAGTTGTCACAGCGGTTGGAGAAACGTGGGGTGAGATTTGCTTTGCTAATTTTATGTTCAAGAAATTGCTAGTCAGTAATTAGGCGATTTATAGGGAATTATTGATTAGGTGGCTGTCTAGACCCATTTTTTTTTAATAAACATTCAAGAAAACTCGTTTGGTTTATGTCTAATTTGCCTAGACCGGTCGATTTTTATAACACTAATGCTAGAATAGCGAATGAATAATAGAGAATTATTGATTAGGCAGACGCCTAGACCGATTTTTTTTTTTTAAAAAAGATAGTTAAGGTCCAATTTACCGGTAGATTTTTAGAACACTGTTGCTAAAGTAGCAACTGAATTTACTGTTTTTCTTGAGATGATTTTGTGTGTGTGTGTGTGTGTTTCAGTTGGATGTGAAAATAATCTACAGTGGTGGCATGGATTTGGATATCTTACCACAAGGTGCTGGGAAGGGACAAGCGCTTGCTTATCTTCTCAAGAAGCTCAAGAGTGAAGGAAAGCTCCCTGTTAACACTCTTGCCTGTGGAGACTCTGGTAACGATGCTGAGCTCTTTAGCATTCCTGATGTTTATGGCGTCATGGTAAGCAATGCTCAAGAAGAGCTGTTGAAGTGGCATGCTGAGAATGCAAAAGACAATCCAAAGGTGATCCATGCGAAGGAGAGGTGTGCAGGTGGGATTATACAAGCCATTGGTGAGTTTAAGCTTGGTCCGAACCTTTCTCCAAGAGATGTTTCTGACTTTTTGGAGTGTAAGGTGGAGAATGTGAATCCTGGTCATGAGGTTGTGAAGTTTTTCTTGTTTTATGAGAGGTGGAGACGTGGTGAGGTTGAGAACTCTGAGGCGTATGCAGCGAGCCTTAAAGCTTCTTGTGTGAGTGTGTAAATAGAGTTTTGATAAATGTATTTGCAGTGAAATAACTAGAGATTGTCTTTTGTGTCAGCAGCAACCTGGAGGTGTGTTTGTCCATCCATCTGGTGCTGGAAAATCTCTGGTTGATACCATTGATGAGCTGCGGAAGCACCATGGAGACAAACAAGGGAAGAAGTTTCGGGTTTGGGCAGATCAAGTCTTGGCAACAGAGACTGCTCCTGGGACATGGATGGTAAAGCTTGATAAATGGGAGCAGAGTGGTAAAAGGCTTATTACATAATCTATATAACTCAAAAGTCTAAATCAATGAGAATCTAACACCAAATTTCTCTTGCAGGTGATGAACGCATAGGCTGCAACACGACTGTCAAATTCACCGCAAAGGTGTGATGAGATTGTGTAATAAGATGTTGTAGCTTCTGTCAGTTTTGTTGATTGTATAATGTGAAATATGCAGGAAGGAGAAGGCTTGGTGTGGGAACATGTAAAGCAAACTTGGTCGGAGGAATCAAAGTTGAAGGATGATAGCAGCTGGATCATCTGAATCACCCAATCTCTCTCAAAATTATAGACTTCTTTCTCTTATGAATCTCTGCCATAAATCATTGGAGCTTCGGCTTGAATACACAAGACCCAATAAAACATTGCCATGTTAAAACTTGGATCACAAAACCCTTTTATATATACATCTCCAAGTTAACTCTGTTTCCTTTAATCCTTTTGGACTCAGTAATGGTTTCTGATTCTTGTTTCACAAGCAACACTATCTTCTTTCCACTAACAATACAAACGTTTTGAGAAAAACTGTAGCTAGGTATTTGTTTTATAGACAGGAAGAGTTATGAAGTTCTAAGTATCCTCCTAATCCTCTTGAACTTAGGTTTATATCCCTGATTGTACTTGGAATACATAATTCCTTATAAAAGAAAAAAAAAATTCACCTGATTGAGAGATATAGCCCAAAAAGACAGCTTAAGAGTTGTAACTATACAGTTTTTTTCTATCGGAATTCGGATTAAACCTAATCTATCTAAAGGTTCCTAATAAAATCATAAGTTTCACACATAGATACATTATTTTGTGTGTCGCTTTCACCAAATATTTAAAATGGTAGGTAGTGTTCGAATTGATCTGTTAATATGGTGATGCTGCATAGGTCCATTAATGTTTGTTGGTTTCTTTTTAAAAAGAAAAGCGTTAACTACTAACACTATAATTGTCGAGGGTTTAATATAATAGTGTTGCTTCCAAGTGAAAAAAGATAATTATCACACAGAATATGAGATTTCTTATTTGGTAACACAGAGAGACTGCAGAAGTGTAGAAGATAACATTTCAAGTTGATTTGGATGGTTTGATCAGAGAAAAAGGAATTACATTTTAGCACGAGCAAATTTTACAAAACACATAATAGGTACAACCACAATGAAATGTTTACCATTAAAGGTATTTATTACAAAGGACTCGAAAAATTCTTTAGGACTTATGTTACTCAACTCACTTGGTTTGGATTATAACATACTCCAAACTTCCTTATTTGATATCTTATATTACACACCACACATGGTTGGTGTTGACTCTTAATGTTGACAAAGATAATATTTAAACGAGATCGACATGCTGTAAAAACTCTTCATCAACCAATAACTTGTCCAAAACGTGAGACCATAGAGACGTATGAATCTCCGTGCTTCCTTTTTCAGTTCCCGGGTAAGTAATGATTTTACCATGGCCAGTAATTCCCGGTCCACCTCGAACCACAATCGGTTTCCCCCAACCGAAATCATTTTCAAACACATCGAACCGTGGAGATCCAGTAACAGTGAGCGAATCATTAACCACCACACGATTCGGAATTTTCGGATTCTTCACCCAATTCTCAGCAAACCGTCTCAACTCTTCATTCGTTTGTAACCCCACAGTTTTGTTCAGTTGCAACCCAGCCCAACCAAGCCCATTCTTAACCAATTCTCCTGCGGTTGTGGTGGTTGTCGCCAGTCCAACCATGTTTCCAAAACACTCTTTTCCGACCGGAGGGTTTAGCCTCTGTCTAATGTCCATCGCCAGCTTGCAGTGAATCACTTCTTCAGGATTGAGATCACTGCTTCTGATTATTGCTCGCCACGTATGCCCTACCACGGCTTGAAACGAAGAGATTACATCAGAACCAACACCAACCTCACCGTTGGCTTTAGCTTTAAGCTGAGAGATGTGTCTACTCGTGAACCGAAAGATCTTCTTTCCTAAGAACGAATCAGCATCACTAAGTCCAGTTACAGGTGATGGTACCGTCTCTGAGATGGGAACTCGGATCGGGTAATCAATCCCGCTGAGAAACCACCCACAGAGAGACAGTGGAGGAAACTTTTCCCTGCCGGTAGAGAAAATCTCCGTCCAAGTTTTGAAGAAACTCCACACCGAAGCTCCGTCTGTAACCAGATGGTTATAACTAAATGCTATGAAAACTCCGTCTTTTAACTCCGTTACTTGGAACGCAAGCAACGGCTTCGAAACCGCTTCACAGCTTTTAACTCCGTTCGCGGGAAAAAACTCGCTCCAATAACTATATGCCGGTTCTAAAACATCATTCACCGTGACTGTCACGGCAGCTGCATGCACGAACTTGACACCTGAACCATCGCAATCTATGTAAAACGACGCCGTTTCGCCGTCTTCGTTGTCGATCTTGACTAGACGTCCCGCATATGGATAGAAAACATTCAAAGCGGTGGAAAGAGAAGACTTTAGTCGAGAGATCATATGGGTTTCCGGGTCGGGTTTCGGAAAGATGAGAGCTCGTTGAGCGTATTCGGTTCGAAGGAGGAAGAGATCCCATGGAGTGAGATGGATCTTGACCCGGTCCGATGCATCCTCGTAGCTCTCTGGTTGAACAATGGTGTCAGAGATTACTACGATATCTACCATATTTTTTTTTCTTAATCTTTTGATATATACACCAATGGGTGGGAGTAGTGATAGACTGCGAGGGATGTGCCAACATTTAAAATGATCGAGTCTCACCTAAAGATGCACTTGCTAGATTATTTTATTTCGATGATAATAGATGCACCTGCGAGAATATTTGATTTGGATGATAATAGTGCACATGTGAGTGTACATATATAGATAATAGATGATTCCGATCTCACCAAACACTGCAAAACTACCTCGTGGTCTAATTATATAGTCTAGATAATAGATTATTTGATTGCAGGGATGGGCATTAGAGTAACAATCAGGTTTTGGTTTGGGTTCAATGGAATTTTGGATTTTTGGTTTATAAATTTCAGTTTCATTCAAAAATTAACAAATATTGGGTGGGAGTATGAATGAGAGTAGTGATAGACTGCGAGGGATCTGCGAGTATTTATATGATCCAGTCTCACCTAAAGATACACTTACGAGATTATTTGATTTCAATGATTATAAATGCACATGCAAAGATTATTTGATTTCGATGATAATAGATGCAGTTGCGAGATTATCTGATCAGGGCCGTGCCTGACATATGTAGGCTCAAAAGCAATTAATTTTTTTGGCCCTACAACAACTTAAAAAAAAAATCAATTGTAAAATGTGCTGCCTATTAGTTTCCAACCTGGCAACACAAGTTGTTTAATAACCAATTTTTTACCATCTGTACTAACGGACATTCAATATAATTGGCCCCTAAAATGATTTTAAGAATATTGGCCTCCAAGCTAATGATTGATGAGCTTGTGCTGAGGCACGGCCCTGTATCTGATTTCGATGATAGTAGATGCACATGCAAGATTATTTGATTTCGATGATTCGATCTCACCTAACACTACAAAACCACCGCGTGGTATACAACAATATAAAATAATATTAGATTATTTGATTGCACCTAACACTAAGGTTGGGCATTCGGAACCTTAGAATTTCGGTTTTGGTTCAATCGAATTTTGGATTTTTGGTTTATGAATTTCAGTATATTCGAATATTATAAAAATTCGGTTGAGATTTGGTTTGAATTTAGTAATATTTTGAAAACCGGTTGAACCAATATAATTATTGGTTTCGAATCCAAATTGATATTTCGGTTCTAAAATAATGTTTTGTACTTTTCAACCTAGAAAAAAATAAAGATCCAGTGAAGCAAAGGCCAAAAATTAATATTTGAAATGAGAAATAACAAATGCTCTTGTCACAATTCTTTTTGGTTTTGGTGTAATTTTTGACAAGTGAAATTTGAGAGGAAAACCAATGAAATTAAAAAACAAAATTCAAAACTATGTGCAAACACCATATTGATAAATCTGAAAAGAAAAGACATTGAATTTGATATACTCGATTTTAGAAAAGAAAGAAGAGCACCAAATACCAAAATATATTAAAATGAGTATTTAAATTATTTATCCATATAGTATATATTTAATTTAGGTACTTAATAAAATATTAGAGTACTTTGAGTACTTATTCAGGATTTCAAAGCACAAATTATTATTTAGTTAATAAAAATATAATTTTGTATATAGTTTATGCATTTTAGAGTTCTCTGCATAATGGTAGGTTGTGTTCGAATTTATCTCTTGATGGTGATGCTGCATTCCATTAATGTGTGTTGGTTTCTTGTTAAAAAGAAAAGCGTTAACTACTAACACTATAATTGTCGAGGGTTTAATATAGTGTTGCTTCCAAGTCGAAAGATAATTATCACACAGAATATGAGATTTCTTATTTGGTAAAACAGAGAGACTGCAGAAGTGTAGAAGATAACATTTCAAGTTGACATGGATGGTTTGATCAGAGAAAAAGGAATTACATTTTTAGCACGAGCAAATTTTACAAACGCATAATAGGTACAACCACAATGAAATGTTTACCATTAAAGGACTCGAACAATTCTTTAGGACTTATTTGGTTTGGATTATAACACACTCCAAACTTCCTTATTTGATATCTTATATTACACACCACATATGGTTGGTGTTGACTCTTTTGGCTAATATATAGCCTACATAGTTGATGTTGACATAGATAATATTTAAACGAGATCGACATGCTGTAAAAACTCGTCATCAACCAATAACTTGTCCAAAACGTGAGACCATAAAGACGTATGAATCTCCGTGCTTCCTTTTTCATTTCCCGGGTAAGCAAGGATTTTACCATGGCCAGCAATTCCCGGTCCACCTCGAACCGCTATCAGTTTCCCCCAACCGAAATCATTTTCGAACACATCGAACCGTGGAGAGCCAGCAACAGTGAGCGAATTATTAACCACCAAACGACTTGGTATTTTCGGATTCTTCACCCAATTCTCAGCAAACCGTCTCAACGCTTCATCCGTTTGTGACCCCACAGTTTTGTTCAGTTGCAAAGAAGCCCAACCAAGCCCATTATTAACCATTTCTCCCGCGGTCGTGGTGGTCGTCGCCAGTCCGACCATGTTTCCAAAACACACTTTTCCGACAGGAGGGTTTAGCCTCTGTCTAATATCCATCGCCAGCTTGCAATGAATCACTTCTTCAGGATTGAGATCACTGTTTCTGATTATTGATCGCCACATGTGCCCCAACACGGCTTGAAAAGACGAGATATTCAGATTGTCATCAGAACCAGCAACTTCACCGTTGGCTTTAGCTTTAAGCTCAGAGATGTTTCTACTCGTGAACCGAAAGATCTTCTTTCGTAACGACGAAGCAGCATCAAGCTTCCCAGTTGCAGGTGATGGTACCGTCTCTGAGATTGGAACTCGAATAGGGTAATCAATTCCGCCGAGAAACCATCCACAGAGAGACAATGGAGGAAACTTTTTCCGACCGGTAGAGAAAATCTCTGTCCAAGTTCTGAAGAAGCTCCAGACCGAAGCTCCGTCTGTAACCAAATGGTTATAACTAAACCCGATGAAAACTCCATCTTTTAACTCTGTTACTTGGAATGCAAGCAACGACTTGGTGACCCCTTCCCAGCTTTTAACTCCGTTGGCGGGAAAAAACTCGGTCCAGTAATTATATCCCGGGTCTAAAACATCACTCACCGTGACTGTCACGGCAGCTGCATGGACGAACTTGACGCCCGAACCATCGCAATCTATGTAAAACGACGTCGTTTCGTCGTCGTTGTTGATTTTGACTAGACGTCCAGCATATGGATAGAAAATCTTCAATGCGGCTGAAAGAGAAGACTTCAGTTGAGAGATCATATTGGTTTCCGGGTCGGGTTTTGGAAAGATGAGAGCTCTTTGAGCGTATTCGGTTCGGAGGAAGCAGAGATCCCATGGAGTGAGATGGATCTTAACCCGTTCCGATGCAACCTTGTAGTTCTCTGGTCGAACAATGGTGTCAGAGATTACTAGGATATCTACCATAATTTTTTATTTATTTTATCTTTACCAATGGGTGGTAGTAGTGATAGACTGCGAGGGAGCTGCGAGTATTTAAAATGATGCAATCGTACCTTAACGGTTCACATGTGAGTGTTATCCGATAAAATGATGCAATCTTACCTAACACTGCTACACAACTATCACGTGTTCGATAGATATAGTCTATATCATATAGATAACAGATTATTCGATCTCACTTAAGGGCATTTCTAATAGTATATCAAAATGAAGGAAACCATTAAAAAATGAAGAAAAATTATCTCTAATCTTACTCTTATATATTAATTGATAAGTCACGTAAATGGCTTTTGCTAATATGTCATTCATAGAAAAAGTTTTTTAAAAATTGTTTTAATTTGAGTGACTGATGATTTTTATTTTTTTATAATTAGAAAACTTACTAATCTTAGAACCATCTAATATTCATTACCAAACAACTTAAGTATTTACATCTTCAACTTCGTAAAGGTATTGTATTTTCTCACCTTCTTTTTTTCCCTCTGAAAATACGACGAACTAGATGGTTTCTGTTAGTATAAGTTTGGCTTATGTGAAAAACATTAAGTTTTTTTTGTGTGGTCCTCAGTTTTTTCTTTCATAAAATATCGGTGTGTAATTAATTGCTGTTCATTTAGCCAAAAAAATAAAAAAAATTAATTGCTGTTCAGCTGGTGAGAGGATGAAGACAAAGTCACCGGCTGTCGTTTGGTGGAGTATCTGCTGATCGTACTCTTTCAGGTCTTTAGTGCCATGTGAACTTTTTTGACGTTAAGTGAACCTCGAGAGAACTATATTGCAGATAGGATTCTTGTTTTCTTGTAAGAATGATCATAATTACTTTTTTTTTTTACGGTTCTGTGGTTTATTTAACTTTCTAAGGTTATTAAAACGCATACGATGGTTCTAGCGTTTTTTTCAGCAACTCCTTTACCAAAAAAGTAACCATGTTTATTTTATATAAACCAAGTTCATATATTATTCATTAATGTAATTGTTTTTGTGCAACTTTTATCTTGTGCAGTTTTGAATGTGCAATAAGTATTGTACCAATTTATGTCATTAACATAAATGAGAGATAAATGATTGAACCTCTTTGCTGAGATTCAATCTATCGCCATGACTCTCTTCTTGTTTCCTCAACCGGAAGATCACCAACTCTGTACAAAGAACTCAGAAAGGAGAAACCTTTGTTAACCCGTGATGTTACTATTATGTCTGTAGGGACTGAGATTACTTATGGTAACTCCATGGTTCCTGATCTTGGTTGGGTTGATACTTTGAATAATAAATGGGACTTTGGAGTTGTCAAACTGACGAGTTCTCGTAGTTAACTCTGCAGTAGGAATGTTAAGATGGGTTTCATTTCGTTCGTTTTTAATGGGCTCGGAAAGAAAATTATTCATTTAGACTCATTTAGCTAGTTGGGTTTTAAATGGGCAACCCATGTAAGACCCATTTATTAATTTCTTAATTGTTTTTAGCTTCTTACGTTTTTTTTTTTATAACACTGGAATTTGAAATAACGGGAACAAGAGAGAAAGTCACGCATGAGCTACAAGGCAAAGAACATGTCAGAAGACAATAAAGGCCTAGGAAAACTCATACAAAACCAAACCTATTTCGCCTCCAGTGCGAGAAGTCTGTGAAGCCAGGGTGGAGCGTTACGGGCAATGTACGATTGATGTCGAAGATCACGAGTGACACTAAGAGCAATAGCATCAGCAGCACCATTCCGTTCGGAGAATGCGTGTTCAATGCTCCAGTCTTCTATTTGAGCGAGAAGTAGTGATATGCTGTGACGTGTGTGGCTGAACCTTCGATCATCGTTAGGCTGGGATAGAAGATTGTGTAGATTTTCAGATGACGTCTCGAAAATGATGTTTGAGAAACGCAAAGTCTGTACACATTCCACTGCCCAAAAAAGGGCCCACAGGTCAGCCTCGACCTTTGGCCGCATACATGAGTAAGCTCGACGGCTATGCAAAAGAGTACAACCTCTATCGTCACGCAGGATCCACGAAGCACCACTACTACAATTCTCACCCACCCAAGAGGATCCAACGTTACATTTGAGGAAACCTTTTGGTTGTTTTTTCCACAGTAGTTTATTTCCGCTGGTCTCATCGGTAGCATCTTTTGTGAACGTGTCACACCAAGTGGCTTCCTCTTCGTAGGTTTTTTTAACAATAAAGGCTGCCGCATTATCCTTTGATTTAAAAATGAAATCATTTCTAGATTTCCAGATTTCCCACAATAACCAAGGAAAAACTTTTCCTAACTGAAACTCCGTTGTCGCATTTTTCGCAGTTTTTATCAAATGCAGGAAATTTAAAAATGTAGAATTCCGTGAAAACCCTCCTGATGGTATTGGGACAAGGGCTTGATCCCATATCGCCTTTGCTTTATCACATGTGAATAGGACATGACATATGCTTTCGGCCCCATTACCACACATAGTGCAAGTCGGATCAATTGTAATACCCCTTGTATTTAATCTTTGTTTGACCGCTAAAGCACCTGACAGGGCACGCCACATAAAATGCTTAATTTTTGGCGGGGATTTTATCTTCCATAAATCTTTCCACAATTGTTTTTCTATAGGAGAGAGAGAGTGGGTGTGTGGATGATCAATACCCACCAAAGCCTCCAAAAGTTTATACCCGCTGCGGATTGAGTAAGATCCATTTGATGTAAAACCCCATCTAATAGAATCTTCTTGTAACAAAGTTGGTTTCAATTTGAGTAAGCTTCCTACGTTATGCAAACAACTTTATATTTCAGCGTAGCTTTTTTACTACTAGTTCTATGACTACTGTTTTCTTTTATCTTCATCTAGTTTTATATGCATTTTATTGACTTTTAACAAAGATCAGTTCAGTATGTTTTTGAGATTTTTTACAACTATTTATATGCTTTTGAGATTTTTATTATTTGTGTAAGCTCCTCAATAAATAAATAAAACATCCAAGATTTTTTTTAAACAATAAAAAAGTAAAAAAATCGTTTTATAAACATAATTAAAACAAAACATAAATAAAAAAAATCTGATCTAAATGGGTCTATATGGGTTTAAATGGGTACATGTAAATTTCGCGGGTTCAAATGGATACATGTAAATTTCGCGGGTTATAAATGGATAACCTTAATAGACCTGTTTTTAAATGGGTCTAAGAGCAACTGCAACCAATATCCTTAAGAGAAAATCTTTAAGAAAAAAATAATTAAACTGGGTGGGTTTAAATGGGTTGGATTTTACCATCTTAACATCCCTACTCTGCAAGCACTTGAACAACAACAAAAAAAGTCTATTATCTTTCAATCTACTTGTCAACGGTACAATGGATTGTAAAGCTTTATAAGTGGGAGCAGAGTGGTAAGGCCTTGTTGGCTATATAACTTACTAAACATGAGAATCTTAACACTACTTCTCTTGCAGGTGATGAACGCATAGGCTGCAACACGACTGTAAAATTCACTGCAAAGGTGTGATGAGATTGTGTAATAAGATGTTGTAGCTTCTGTTAGTTTTGTTGATGATTGTATGTTGTGGAATATGCAGGAAGGAGAAGGGTTGGTGTGGGAACATGAGAACAAACTTGGTCGGAGGAATCAAAGTTGAAGGATGAGAGCAGCTGGATCATCTGAATCACCCAAATCTCTATCAAACTTATAAGACTTCTTTCTCTTTCTTCCCTTATGAATCTCTGCCATAAGGCAGTCATTGGAGCATCGGCTTTATAAAACTTGAATCTCAAAACTGATATATCTCCAAGTTGGCTCTGTTTTCTAAGACTCTTTTAGACGGTTATACATGTTTCTGTTACTTCTATCACAAGCAACACTATCTTCTCTCCACTAACAGCAATAACGTTTTGAGCATATCTCTCACTTTATGAATAGTAGTTTAGAGATTTTTTTAATATATGGGAAGAGTAATGAAAGTCAAAGTGTCCTCCTAATCCTCTTTGACTTAGGTTTATAGTCCTAACTGGACTTGGAACCATATGATAATCCTTATTTAAAAAAGTTATTTACGTGGTTGAGAGATACAGATAAAAAGAAAACTCAGCGTAAAAGTTGTTTATACGAACAAAAGGTGCAAATCATAAGATCAAAAGATCGCGTGTGTGGTAAGTAATCCTTGATTCTACAAAAAAAAATTGTTCAAAGGTTTTGGAAAGAGTTTTCAGAAGCACTGCATATGATTCAGTTTACTTACGCATAGATATCTGCAAAATCACAACACTTGAAGTAGTACATAACCTCTCGAATCGTATAAGGTAGGTTAATCCAAACAATTAGAATTCGTAATTAGGGTTTTTATCTGATCATTATAACTCATTACATGTTTACTAGTGCAAAGTTCACCTACCATTTATTCTCCATACCGTCTTCTCCACTTCCACGAATTTAATATTTTGTTGTTTTTCATGTTTCAACTTTCAATAATAAAATAAAATAAAAACAGTTATATTAGTTGGGAAAGAACAATCTTATTAATGATCGTCTCCGTACTTTTCTTCATCACAATGCTTCCCCTTTCTTCGAAATTTCGATCATGTCGCCACCATATCCTATAATTCCTCTCATATTGATTAACGCATACCAATTTTCAGAAAGAAGATGGAGAGTTCAATTGGGTTCATGACGGTCTTTGCCGTCTCTGGAAGCGTGGTGCTCCTTGCTGCTCGATTACACAAGCGTCTCTTGTCCGGTTACATGCAAAAGCTTGAACTTCAGTTTGGTACTAATACTTCTTTCCTGTTTTGTTCAAGTCCATTCATGTTTTAGTTCCTTGTTCAAGTTTCTGATCTTATTTATAAAAAAAACATGTGTAGATATTGAGAATAAGGAGAAGAACAAGAAGAAGGAGAAAAGGGTGAGTTTTGCAGAGGATGTAATGGAGCCGTCAGGGAACAACAAAGAGTATCGCCGGAATAATAAGAAATCAAAATTGGAGGATGGAGGAAAACGAAGAAGCCTACAAAATAGTCAAGTTTTATAATAAGTCAACTCTCATTCAACACCATCCTTTTTATTTAGGGGTTATTTGTCAAATAAAGTACTCGATTATTTTTTCGAAAATAGTTTCTCGTTCTTTTTTTTTTTGTTTGTTTCTCAAAACCTGTTTTGTTTTGTTTTGTTTAATTTGATAAATATTAACTGCACGCCGCTCTTCCCAAAATTAGAAGCTAGTAAACCGGACCACATACGTATCCCATGTTGTTATTTATGTCAATGGCGCGAAGATGTTAATGTTCTGATTCGTATCAACTACCGTATTTATTAGGACCAATCAAAAATTCAAGATTAACGTATTAATTAGGACCAGCCAAACTTCAAGAGTAGGACCAGTAATGATTTTAAACAAAACAATTGCGGTTTCAGCAAAGGCCCAATTTGGTAACGGACTTCAACAAGCCAATCAATATAGTGCTTACTGCTTAGGGGCTTTTGTTTTCTTTGTTCCTCGCTTTTTTCGTTTAATCTTCTTTTGGAACCTTTTTCCTTAACTATTTTTTTTTTTCATTTTTCTTATGATTTATGTACTAAAACATGAAATTTTGTAACTGGCAATATGAAGAACTCAAATTGGTAAAAAGTGAAAATGCAAAGATTGTGGTTGGCTAGCTAAGTAACTTGAACTATGGAATTTGATCGACCATAAGAAAAACAAAGAAACTAAGGAAGAATGAGTTACATCATATTCAGAGAAAAATATACAATGGTGTATCCAGCTACTTATTAGCTGATTGTTTTCTAATACGAGAGACAACGATTACTTCTTAAGAAGATCAAGAGAAATATGATTATTTGTTTAAGAAAAAACGAGAATCAGAAAATAAAATGTCTTGTCAATCTTTAATTTTGTAAGAATCAAGTTAATGATATTATAATTCCACAGTACCTAAATTGATCAATAGTGCCATTCTATAAGATCTTTTGAATATTCTAAAGTGGCCATATATCTCGCATCTACCCGAAAAGATTATGTACAATGCATTCTTTTCCAATTATTGTCTAATAAATGTTCTTTTCTCTGATATAAAAATCATTCAAAATAATTTGACTTTCGCTTTTTGAAATATTCTAATTTCCACCTTCCTTTTTCCACTCCAATTGGTTTTATAAAACAAAAATACAGACGTCAAAAACATGTATTATTGGCACTTAATAAAACCCAAAAGTAAAAAGATATTATTATTAAAAATTACTTAGAAGTGAAGAAGTCCTTCATGTCACGAGTCAGGAGCTCTTTGGCCAAGATTTAATAATCGGCAAATGAATCCCAAAGGTGTTTCCTTTTTAATTGAATACTATTGTTTTCTCTTTATATAATGTTAATGGACTGAGAACGGAGCTTCGAATCAAAGGAGAAAGCCAACCACCACGACAGTGTCGGTTCGAAGGCGACGGAAAATCTAACGGCAGGCAAAACGTCAGCGTTTTAGATCATAAATAACGGCGAAAGCGAGATTATATCAATCATACGTTTAATACTTTTCACGCGCTATTCCACCGTATGTGTCAGAACCAAAGCCCTACTCTTTGACGTCAAAAATAGCCTTTACGTTTTCAGATTTACTACAAAACAATGTCGTGATTATGAAATAACATCTCCATATTCATTTTGTTTATCAAGTCAATTCGTGTTTGGGAGATGTTATTTCATAATCACGACATTGTTTTGTAGTAAATCTCAAGCATATGCATTGGTCTAAAGTCTTACAAACAAAGATTCTTATTATAAAAATGACATAATGTTAGATCAAAAGCTTGCATCGATCCATTTATTTCAACCAAAGACATCTTACCTTCCTTCACTGGTTTTGTTTATGACTTATATATGTGACATATAATTAATTTAGAAATTAAAAGTCATCGACATAGTTTTATTTCTAGTCATCCTTAAAATGTAGCCAGTAGCTCAAAGTAAATTATGACATCTGCAACCAAACTTCACAAACCATTTCAGACAGTAATGCTAATTCATTCCGTTAAAATATGTTTATAGAATGCTAATTCATCCGAAGACTATAACTAAAAGAAAAGTGTAGTATCTCTAATTTACAAATGATGTAAAAGTCAAACACAGTCCAGTATATGATACTATGAATTTATAGAATTGGCTGATATAGTGATATAACAATGCTAGTTCATGACATCTTTGTTACGTTACATGAATGCGAATAATTCTAACATAAATATGTTGGCATTTTACTACATGATGATAATGTTTTCAATGTTTTTGTTTCTCAATTGCTGTAGAATAAAATACTGTCTCAAAAACATACCCAAATATTCGCCACGAAGCAAAGTGTATTTGTATTAATGAAGCTTATATATATATCAAGTATAAAGGCGACATCCCAATAGTTAACAATAATAGATAACACATCGAGTAATCAGTTTTAATTATAACTCAATAGTGACTGGCAACAAATTATTGTATTTACAGTTGTTTGAGTTGTACGTTACTACCACCATCTGATTTGCAAGCCAAACAAACCATATTTTAACAAAAAAAAATACAAAGATGGAAAGTTTTTCCTTGAAGTGAAGTTCAGATAATGGACCGAGTTAGAAACCGACACGAGAGCTCGAAGACAGACAGTCTTGAGTTGTTGAACAGAGGCAAGTAGAAGCCCTCTGTCCCAAAGAGAGGTCCAAGTTAGAACATAAATCTGAACCAAATGGCACGTGTAGACCCTACTTTTTCACCACTAAAATAAATAAATAAATAAAAAGCAGAAAATCCAACCACCAAAAATACAAAAAAAAAAGAAAAAAATTAAAAATAGAAAGAAGAAACTTCACATCAGCTTCAGAGAATCTCTCTCTCTCCTTCACAACCAAAAACTCCAACCCCCTTCTTTCTTTCTTCACATTGCCGACACTTCCTTCATCTCTCTTTCTCTCAACAAACACACCATGAACTCCTCCTACACCTTCTCAACCCTCCTTCTCCTCCTCTTAGCCACCTCCATCTCCACCGCATTACCCGATAACAAACCCACCTCGGGTCAAATAAACTCCAACTCAGTCCTCGTAGCTCTCCTCGACTCTCACTACACAGAGCTAGCCGAGCTAGTGGAGAAAGCTCTCCTCCTCCAAACCCTAGAAGAAGCAGTTGGTAAACACAACATCACAATCTTCGCACCACGTAACGATGCCTTGGAACGTAACCTCGACCCTCTATTCAAATCTTTCTTGCTCGAACCAAGAAACCTCAAATCGTTACAATCTCTATTGATGTTCCACATTCTCCCTCGTCGTATCTCTTCTCCTCAATGGCCTTCTCTCTCTCATCACCACCGTACTCTCTCCAACGACCATGTCCACCTCACCGTCGACACTTCTCTCCGGTTAAAAGTTGACTCCGCTGAGATCATCCGTCCTGATGACGTCATTAGACCCGATGGCATCATCCATGGGATTGAACGTCTCCTTATCCCTCGCTCTGTTCAAGAAGCCTTCAACCGCCGCCGTAGTCTCCGTTCAATCTCCGCCGTGTTACCAGAAGGAGCTCCGGAGGTTGATCCAAGAACACACCGTCTCAAGAAACCAGCTCCCGTCCCCGCCGGAGCCCCTCCTGTCCTCCCAGTCTACGACGCCATGTCACCAGGTCAGTGCCGCCGTGTCTTCCTATTTTTTTAATAAAAATAATAATAAAAATGTCAAAAAATATTTTACATGAATATACTTTTATTTCAGCATAAATTTCATAAAAATGTACTTATAATTTATTTAAAATGTACTTATAATTTAAAATGTACTTATAATTTATTAAAAATGTAAACAAATATTAATTTTTAAGGATTCATTTTTTTAAAATAAAATAATTGAACCGGTTCTGTGCCAGGTCCATCTCTTGCTCCGGCTCCAGCTCCTGGACCAGGAGGTCCACGTCACCACTTCAACGGCGAGGCTCAAGTCAAAGACTTCATCCACACTCTCTTGCATTACGGTGGCTACAACGAGATGGCTGACATTCTCGTCAACTTAACTTCCCTAGCCACCGAGATGGGTCGTCTCGTCTCAGAAGGATACGTTTTAACCGTCTTGGCTCCTAACGACGAAGCTATGGCTAAGCTCACAACGGATCAGTTGAGTGAGCCAGGTGCTCCTGAGCAGATTGTGTATTACCATATCATACCTGAGTATCAAACTGAGGAGAGTATGTACAACGCCGTACGTAGATTCGGGAAGGTGAAGTATGATTCTTTGAGATTCCCACACAAAGTGTTGGCTCAAGAAGCTGATGGCTCTGTTAAATTTGGACACGGTGAAGGGTCAGCTTATTTGTTTGACCCTGATATCTACACCGACGGTCGGATATCAGTTCAGGGTATTGATGGAGTCTTGTTTCCGATGAAGGAGACTCCGGCAACGGAGAGGAAACCTGCTGCTCCGGTTGTTAAGAAAGTTGCTAAATCAAGAAGAGGTAAAAAAAAACTTTTAAGTCTTTATTACTTTTCTTTTATATTTGGTTTTAGATTATGATTGTTATGTCCTTAAGTACTTGATTTTGACGTCTAAACTAGAGTTACATCATTTTTGTGTCATAGATTGTCAGAAATCTTGTTCTAAAACTTTGTGTAGGATGAAACATTAGTTAAATAGTTTAAGCAGCCTTGAGTTTGGTCGGTAAATGAGAGTAGAAGTAAACATGTGGGATTTGGAATAAAAGCAGAGACGTGTAAGAGCATGGAGACAAAACAGTCTTAACAAACTTTGTTTTTTTAGTTTACACAATAGCTTCTTTTTGTTTACTATAACCCACCGACGAATAATCCCATAATAACCATTAAATTATGGAAAGTATTGGTTTTTGTTCTTTCTAAAAGACAAGCTGTGAGGCACAATTGGTCGTTAGTGACAGCTTGGTTTTATTTTTACTAAATCCCAAACCAAACCCTTTTGTCCTCTTAATAATCAATTTTTGAGTTTGTTTATATTCATTGCACTCAATCATTTACAAAAGTGGCTGATTATGTGATAACG